GGGCTGTTTACTGGAGAAGCCAGCAATGCCAAGGCTCTACAGCCACTCTGTGCTCCCCTGTCCCCCATTTTTACAAGTCACCAATGCACATCACTCACCCGCCCATCCTCACCCAGCTCTGACTGGTTAAATGAATGTGAGCTATCCTGTGAGAAAGCTCTGGGCCAGCTGCAGCATCCAGCCCAGTCTCTGCTCTCCAGAGGGCCGTTGCTCAGGTCATGCTGCACTCAAGGCCAGCTCAAGATCCACCATGGCTTTGTGATGCCTGTAAAGAATGGAGTCCAAGACCATGACTACAACATACATATCAATACATGTACACAGCAACACATGTACACAGTTACACATGTACACAGAGCCGCACATGGACACAGAGTTACACATGTATACAGAGTTATACATGTACACAGAGTTACATGTGTACACAGATTTGCAGAGTCCCCCAGGGAAACTCCTTCTGTGTCCTTTCCCTTTGCAGTTGCTCAGTTTACCTTTCCTGCTAAAACCCAGACCCTCTGCAAACCTCCTACCAAGGCAAACAATAAAACACTGAGTTCTAGCAAACAAACCTCTCTTGCTTAGCTGTTCTGTCTGTGTCATGGGTATCATGGCAATGCATCCATGGCATTTCGCTAAGTCAGGGCATGTGTTGTGTTTGTAGAACCCAGGACTGCTCCAGGGACTCCAAGGGTCTAAATGAAAGAGGTGCCTTTTATGCCTTGATGTAACAGTTGCCTCCTGCCTGTAAATGCTGACTCCTCTGTATTAGTATTTTCCAGAGGGGGAAGCCCAGGAAGGTGATTTCTCTCTTATAAATGGGTGAATTACACCTGGTATGAAGTCAGCTGACCCTGAGCCCAGGTGTGGCAGTACCCCTGACCGCCCGTGATTTTTTTTCTCTCTCTCTCTCTAAAATGAAATGATTCACTTTCAGAAGCAAAATGGTGATTTTGTTATCAAAATCTGTTTTTTCCTCCTAATGATAACACTCAGCCTATCTGGGAAATATCAAATGGCAGTGAAAGAATCTATGTGTGTTTTATTGTTACCAATAGAGCATAAGATTGCAAAGGCAGGCAGACACTAGTGCAGGTATTTCTGTGACACTAGGTGGTATCCAAAATGCTTCATTTATGCTCTACTGGACCGGACTAGAGGAACATAACAGCCCTGGCTTGTTATTCTGAGATGCCAAAGCCCTTTTATCACCTATGAGGCCGTGCTACATGGATTTTGCAATCTAATACATTTAATATATCAAAATGAAGCAGATTAAATGTTATTATCCACAGAGTGTTTTGCTTTGGGGGCAAGGCTCTGAAGATCACAGTCTTGAAATCCCTGTCAAAGTTAGTGCAGAGCAGCTGACTGCCATTTAGACATTCCGGGGAACGTGGGCATTTTTTAATGAAGAACAATAATGCTGGCGCTGTGGCATCTCTTTTGTGCAGCTCTGTGCCAGCTCTCCTTTTATGCCTAATAAATTCCCCTCAATAGCCACTAATCTCTAAAATAGAATCTAAGGAATGTCCTATGCTGTTCTCCAAAGAAAGGGTTTATTCTGAGCCTGAGCTGATTGTCAGAAGCCTCAATCAGATCTTCCCTTGTCCAGGAAACCACTGAAAGCTCTTTGCCTGTTGATTTCAAGATAACATTCCCCTGGACTCTCCTCAGTATCCCAATCACTGACAGCCTCATTAAGGAATGGTTTGCTAATGGTTTGTGTGCATAAGCTCCACATTTTATAATGTACTTGGGAATTTGAGTATTTTTAGTAAATGCAGCAAAGCTTTCTAAAGAAAGAAAACTACCTCTCCACAAAAAAAAAAAAAAAAGACTGGGGGATATTGCTCAGTCAGTAAAGTGCTTAGTGTGCACACATAAGGGACTGAGTTCAACACCAGAACCCACACTAAAAACAAACAAATGAAAACTGATACACATGGTACCTGCTTCTATTCCCAGCACTGGAAAGACTGTTCTGATGCGAGTGAGTCTCCCAGGGTTACCAAGCCTCCTTAGCAAGCTCCAGACCAGTGAGAGACTCTGCCTTAAAAAAAACAAAGGAGATGGTATCTGAGAAACAGTGTCTGAGATTGACCTCTAACACACACACACACACACACACACACACACACACACACTGATACACTTTTCTACAAACAGCATACATACACATGAACACACACATAGAAACTCACAGGAGAAGACATCATGGCTCAAGCACGAGATCTGGGATATTTTCTGTCCCTCCCAACAAGTCTCATTGGTATCAGCAACTGCCTAGTGTCACTGTGGAACCAGGCACCCACGTGCTTAGGTGTATGGGGCAGACTTCAAAGCTTTCCTCTTGGAGGTTTAACATCTGGCAACATTTTGGTTGTCATGGAAAATGCTGAGAAGAGCTCACACTTTAGTAGAAATATAGATGGGTATCTGTGCCTGACAGAGAGAAAAAGGGCACAGCCACCGAGAAGCCCAATGCCATCTGCTGAGTGGAGACCTGGGTCCTTTTGCTGGGGTTTGGAATTTGACTTTTTGTTAGGAACATGTCTCTGTGACAACCTTGCCTTACCTGGCTTTCTCATAGATACAGTGTATCTCATCGTATCTCATAGATAAAGTGAGCACTTGTTACTTTATTTTCTTTTAATTCTTAGTTCAAACATTGTTTCTGTTCCTTTGTAGTTCTCAACCTGTGGGTCATGACCCTTCTAGGTGTCCCATATCCCATAGCCTGCATATCAGATATTTACATTATAATACATAACAGTAGCGAAAGTACAGTTATAAAGTAGCAACTAAACAACTTTATGTTTGGAAGTCACCACAACATGAAAAACTGTATTAAAAGGGTCCTAGCATTAGAAAGCTTGAGAACCCCTGGTCTAGTGGTTTGACTAGAGGCTACTTCACTCTATTTTAATGATTCTATCATGAAGTAAGACTTTAACCTTTCCTCTGCCTTGTGCAGTTACTGCTGATAGACCTGTGTGTTGTGTGTGTGACTTACAGTCTAGGAGACAGTCCAAGTGCTTAATTGATGTTTACCTGTAGGCTTGCTATTTATGGTGTTTCTGAGCCTTGCCTCAGTTTTACTTTTTTTTCCCATATGAGATCACTTTCTTCCTATATAAGGAAAAACCTTCCTTTTGTGTCTTTCTTAATGCAAGATATCTGAGGATGTTTTTGTTTGTGTGATATCTTTATTTCACTCTGAGTGTTGAATGCTGTCTCTCGGTTGAATACTATCCATGTTGCCTTGCTCCCCACCTACCTATATTTCTGTTAGGAAGTCATCGTCTGCTCTCATTGTAGTTTCTTTAAATATGAGCATATTTTTTATTCTTTGAAAATTTTGTAGACATATACAGTATATCTTGATCATATCTACTTCTCAGTCCCCTCTTCCCTTCTCAGTGCAGCTCTCCTGAGAATCCAGAACCCTCCACCATATGTCCCTCTAACTCTTGGTTCATTCCACAGTGGGTAGAAGCAGCCTGCCTCCCCAGGCATCATCTGCAGAATTATGCTATGTGAGGGTCATCCTGGAGACTGTCAGAAATATCAAGGGTTCATCCTGCTTTGGGGACCTTTTCTACAGATGTGTTGAGATTGTGGTGGGGTGGGATAGGGGCCAATATCCACAATGAGGTGTGGCCACTACCCCAATGATCATTTACTAAGTGATATTTAGGAAATTCCTTTTGCTAATAAGGACACCCTGCAGGGCTGTACTTAGAGACTCTGAATACAGATCTGATCTTCATGATCACCTTGTGTGGGTAAATAGCACCCTCAGATATGGGTGCAGGCTTGGACAAGGACTGCTGGCAAGGTCTGTCTTACTAGGCAGTGATCTCTATATCAGTCACATTGCATGACTGACTGAATTCTGTTCTCTGGATGAGATGTAAGTGGTGCAAGGTATTTGGTGTCTGGGAGATGGGAGGAACCACCTTCTTGTTTTCTCCCTGTTGCTCCCAGTGTCCTCTCTCTCTCTCTCTCTCTCTCTCTCTCTCTCTCTCTCTCTCTCTCTCCCCTCTGGCTTTGTTCTTTTTGAGAATTTTTTTTCATGTTGGAATAGCCTAAACATGGTGTCTGTAATCATCTGACTAATAGATTTCCAGTTGTTGGCAGAAAAGAGATGCCCCTGGGAAAATAACCTTTGTTATTTTCCCATGTGCCCAGGTTGAAGTTGGGGCAGCCAAGGGTCAGTTTTCAGGAGTCATTGTAAACCAAGTGGAAGCAACTAAAACCATTGCATAGCAGGTGCTGTCCTACAAAAGCTGGAACAGTGCCTATGTTAAGAGGCTTCACCAACCTCAAGAGTGCCCAGGACCTAGACAAATGTCTCTGCTTCATTGTCCTGCATGGATAATGTGGCTAGACACTGACCACAGCACGTGGTAAGTGTGCTCACAGTCACAGCTAGCCTTCCCCCAGGGAGCAGCACATTAGTGACTGTCTCTCATTACACCCATGTTTGAGAACTGTTTTGGTATGAGTGTGGCCCAGTTCTAGCAACTGTGCTGAGTAGGGGATCTATCCTGGGGCTACTGTATGTGGTTGAGATGGGGCATGTCACCTTGACAGTCCCCTGTGCCTGCTGACCATGTGTGCAGAGGGATGAGTGTTTTCCACAGTGGGGTAAAGCTTGAGAAGGCTTATTTCTAGAAGCAAACTCAGGGAAGAACTCAAGAGAAAACACAAGCTAACACAGGAGTGTTTGTGAACTCAGGGAACACAGGACAAGTTGATGCTGCTTCCTCTCATGCTGTTGGAAGGTATGGTACATGAGAACCACTCTGTGTAGCTCCCGATGACACAAAAGGCTGTTTCTGATTCCCTGGATCCATACTGTTTCTGGTGGCCTTGTAGCTGGAAGTTTGGAAGGCCACTGACTCTTTGCACCTTGCCTTTCATCCACACCCTGGCAATGCCACCATAGTCTCCAGCACCACCTCTGCAGCTACCTTGTTTCTTCTCTTCTGTTGCAGGTTATCCATCAGCTGAGACTCTCTGAGAATGAAAGTGTGGCTCTGCAGGAGCTGCTGGACTGGAGAAGGAAGCTGTGCGAGGCCAGAGAAGGCTGGCAGGATGCCCTGCAGCACCCAGAGCCCCGTGTACCTCCACCACCACCATGCAAGAAGCCTACACTCCTAAAGAAGCCTGAGGGGGGCTCCTGTACCAGGCTGCCTTCCCAACTCTGGGACAGCAGTATCTGACATGATTAGACTGTGGGCATGTGACTGAGCTGTCCAGTGACTGCAGGCACAGGGCAAGAGGCTGCCTTCTGATGCCTGAGTCTCCTCTCCAGGCAGCTCCACAAAAGCACAGGACACTAATGATAACTACCCAAGACCTCGTGTGTGTGTGTGTGTGTGTGTGTGTGTGTGTGTGTGTGTGTGTGTGTGTGTGTGTGCGCGCGCGCGCGCGCGCTCGCACTCATTGATTCCTTCTCCATTTCTTGGCAGCACACTGATTTTTAGGGCCACACTGCTCCCAGATAGCTAGAGAGGTAAGAAGGCCGGAGAGCAGAGCAGTGGAGAGAGGTTCTCTAGGCAGCTGTTTCTAGAACACTCCACATTTAGCCACTCTCCAACCAGCACATAGGATGTATGTTTCATTTCCTTGTAGGTGTCCATGTGTCACTAGAAGTACAAACCCTATGATTGTTTTACATGTTTATTACTGTATTTTATAACTTTATGAAACTGGTATATTCCCTTTCTTCAAATTGCAGATTTAAAAAAAAATCATTTATAGGTTTCTTTTTTTAATTCCACATACTTATTTTTAACTCAAAGCCCCTCAAAGCCCATGGACTGTGTGTTGTTAGGTGACCCCTGCAGGAATGCAGGTTGAGAACTAGAGTTTATATTTCATGTTCCTCCACTCTTTTCTGCACCCAACATTTCCCTTGGGTACATGTGGCTTGGGTGTTCATTGGTTAAGCTTCAACCCCACCCAACCCCTCAACTTGGCATAGATGACAGGATGTTTGTGGTTCAAAACATATGGCTTCAAGTTCCTAGCTGGTGACACAAGAGTTTCAACAATACTGATAAGCAGGCTGAGCCTCATGGGATGGAGCAGTGTACTGCCCTCCCTAGGAACACTGCATGATTCCCCCGCTGTGTGCCCAACCTGCTGTTGTACGTACGATGCCGTCCTTCTCCATGTTTTTCTGCCCATTGTCGGTGAGTTCTGAGCTGTGGCTCCACCAGCCACCTGCCACCATCTCCTGCCACTTGGATCGCTTTATTCATTTCCGCCGTTACAGAGCTACTGTGCCAATAAAAGGGTGCAAGCGTGTTCTATTATTTTCGTCATTTGTGGTCAGTGCTGTAGTCTTGGGACTCCTGTCTCCTGGTCTGCTATGTAGGAGCAATGGAGCACCTTCACCCTGCCTCCCTTCACAAAGAGACAGCTGCTAGCACAAAGAGAGTGTCCTGTGCTGAACACAAAATCTAGGAGTGAGCCACAGAGCCACAGCCAGCAAGGCACTAAAGCAACCCAGAAATGACCACCCTAAGCCCTGTCTGGGGCTCTGGATACAGCTGGCCCTGCAATAAAGGGAGTAGTGGGGATGAGGGCTTTTTGTTGGTAGCTTTGCATTTGAAATGTATGCTCTGGGAGCTGACACTCATTTTATCTAAGAATGAGCTCACCTGGTGACCACAGTCCCTTCAGGACAGCAGAACAGGCAGAATAAAACAGCATGGCTCATCCACATTGCCCTCCAACAGTCCAGAAGATGCTCAACTTGCCCTTGACCAGACATAGCCAACCCCCACCCCCTGCCATTTCTTCACTTCTGTCTCTCTGGATCCAGCCCACAAGCTGTGGAGGAGTTAGTTCCTTACCAACAAGACTTCTTTGGCCTCCACCAGTCCCAGTACACTGTAGACTCTCAATGATCTGGGTTGAATTGGAAGCTGCAATGGTTCCCCACAGAGTAGCGCCTGAGCTGCCAATGCTGTGGCTGTGTGCAATGCTCAGGCTATACTGGTATGTCATCTATTACGGATACGAACTGCCTGGTTTGGGTTGTCCAGAAAATTACTCCAAGGAAGAAGACTAGAAAACACCTCTTCTCGGAGCTCTTGATGTCCACCAGAAAGGCCAAGCTCTGGGCTCTCTTGAGAGTGGGTATCTGGTGAGGGGCAATAGCTGGAGTGCAGTCATCTTCCTAGCATATGTTTGTATGGCAGAGAAAAGGGCGACGGGTAACAAAGCCTCTGGGGTGTCTTTCACAGGGTCATGACCTTGCCATCCTCCAAAGCACTTCCCCATACACTAAGGTCTCAGCTGCAGTGTGTCAACTTGGGGAACACTCGGAGACTCAGTTCATGGCATTGATAGACACCAATGAGGTCATTCTTATATTAATACTGAAATCACAGTTCAGAGTTTTAAAGAAGCCCCTCAAATTATCACCTTTCATTTCTATCATTTCAGGGTGGCACTATGACTTGACATCCTGACATTGTCAACGTCTTACATTAAGTGTAGCTTTCAAACCTTTAAGCAAGTGACTTTTTCCAGATACACAACTGTGTGAGATTATGTTACAAGGCCACTGTAGGGAGACCTTACATGAAGATAGGTTCACGAGCCATGTGTGATCCAAATCACACTACCTTCTCCTCAGCTAAGTGCAGCCTGGAGACTTGTACAAACTAAGGAGCTCAGCCACTATATAGTACTGTAAGCATCAGAAAGAAAGAGCTAGTCAGTCTCTCCAGAGGCCACAGGTTGACCTTCAGAGGCCAGAAGGACAACCCTTTGTAAACTGTAATTGCCAACTCCTCCATCAGCATGGGAGGCCATCTGTGTTTGGCTGTCTGCATCTTGGCTACAGAGAGAGAGATGGTCTGTGCATTTATTGCTATGTGTGTAATTGAGACTGTGGAATTTACATGACAGGGAGATGGGTAGAGTCACCAGCACTAGTGCCATAATATACATAATTACCAGTCATAATAGCTGAGAGCTAGTCCAGTTCCTTGTGTGCATTCTATGCCCTCAGCACAGCTCCATAATGAGGGTAGCACCGTAAGTACACAGAGAAGGCATTCTGGATAGTAAAGCCCTGACCATTATTTCACACAAGCAATATTCAGTTACACATAGTTGCAAAGAAAGATGACATTTTAATTGCCACCAGACCATAAGGTATGAATTATGATATATTATTAGGCCTGCAACCTTATGTTTAACAATATAATTGGAAAAAATTATGATTCTGCATTCAAACACTACCTACTCTATTTCTTTTTTTAAAATTATTTATGAAGGGCCTCTAAAAACTACTATCAAAATGTTTATATTGGGTTAAGATGACTTAAAACATATTTTCCAGAGTGGAAAAAATACCTCATTACTATTCTTAAGTAATGGTATCTAATTTAGTAAAATTATGATTACATAAATCTACTCAATAAAAGTAACAACCAATTAAAATCCAAGATTGGTAAAAGGACTTCACATAGAAATGTTAATTACTTTGTTTGGAGAAAAATGATACATTACAAATTTCCTAGCTTAAGATGCTGGTTAGAGTACTGCCAAAACTCAATGGCTGTCAGATTCCAGCTGGGTATCAAGCTCAAGCCATGTCCTTACAAACCCCAAGGCTGAGGCTGGGAAATGAATGGATCAGCAGGTAATGTGTTTGCTTCACAAGCATGAGGACCTGTTTAAAAGAAGTCTAGTGTGAGGGTATACACTTGTAACCCAGGTCCTGTGGAAACAAAGACTGGAGGGTCCCTGCATCTCACTGGTCAGATAGCCCAACCTACTAGGTGAGAGACCATGAATAAAAAGAATGAGAAAATGGTGGGCACCGCTAAGGAACAGCACCTAAGGCTGCCCTCCCCTCCACATGCACACACCACACATGAACACACACACATACACACTCACTTGCACACACAAGCACATGCACATGCATACACTGTACATGAACACACTCACATGCACATACACACACATGTGGGCACACTCACATCTGAGGTTGTTAATTATGATGTCCCACAGTGGCCCAGCTCATCCTCCTCCCACACTCTAAATTATAATCCTGTCCTGACAACTTTCAGCTGTAAGTTTTTGACAAGGAGTTAATGGATTTGATTGCAATTCCAATTCTCATTAAAAAGTATTCTTAAATTGGCCGGGGAGGAAAATTAAAACTGTGTTCCAGGTAAATTTTAGTGTAAACTTATTATTTCATCTTTCAAACAGTGCCTAGGGGCACACACAGAGCTGTACAGTGCAGAACAAGAAATTCGCCATTTCAAAAGCCTAAGCACAGCCTTCATACCCTCATTCTTTCACTTACATCCTATTCATAAGCAATGACTATCATCTAAATTCTACAGTGGACAATGGCTTGCTCTGCAAGGTGTCCCTGTGTGTGACAGTGATCCTCTTAGATAGTGGAGCACTGTGGGAGCCAAGATTCAGTCTGGAAAGAACCACTTTTATACTCTGTCTCTTTGCCTAAGTTCTTCAGACCCCTGCGAGGTCCCATTGTGATGGTTTCCACAAATGTCTCTAAAATCCAGGCTGCGCTATACACCTTAAAGATGGTAATTTCAAAGGGTGAGTTTTATTAGAAACCTGTCATACATCTGTCATCTGTTTTAATTTCTCAGATCATTCTTCAGGGTGTTTGAAGTGTATTTATACTTAAAATGTCACTTGTGTGCTCCAACACCAGAGGACTGTCATCTGGGTTTTATGCAGTGAACCAGGACATCACAATGGTTGGAGTTTCTTACAGGAAAATAATTAAAGATGAATAAGTAATGCATTCATCCCATTGTTGAGGCCCCCCATGTCCTCACTGCCTTTGAGTTTAGCCATTACAGCCCCCCACCCTCACCCTCAGGCATGCATGCTGCCTTGCCTTGCTCCAAAGCCCCAGGGAAAATTAACTGCTTCAAAGAAGGCAGCCAGCAGGCTCACATTCTCCCTGTATCACCATTTGGTGCTTAATGTCTAAAGAGATGAAAGAGAATGAGATTATTGATATGTTCCAAAGAGCAGCCAAAGCTCTACAGAAAAACAGACCAGCACCAAGTTCAATTTGAATTTTTGATCTCCAAGATTTTAACAAAGAAGCTTGTAATCCATGATGTTAAGCCATTATCTGCTGAACATTGGTCCTTCCCTGTTCTGAGAAGACATTGAGTCTATTTGGGAGGATGCATTTTACTTCATTGAGACAGAGCTCATATGGTGCCTGGAGGAGCAAACTCACACAACAAGACTCCTGTGATCAGGCTTCCATGAATGCGTTCATTAAGATGGTCTTGTTATGACCACACTGACTCCTGAGCTGCCTGATCGAATGCTAGGGCTTCTTCTGCCTTTACTGTTGGGGAGCTGCTGCCACTCCCTTGAGGTGAGCAGCCATTGCAAGGCAAGAATGC